GGAGCAGTGACAAATCTGCCTGGGTCCTGGGTTCTGTTTTGCACGGCTCTATATTTTGTTGCAACTCGAACTGAGCAACTCTGGTCCCATGTTTTGTGTCCCTTTCCACAATTGCTGCAACGCACTTCTTGTTTTCCCTCACAGTTGCACGTGTTGTGCTCTCCTGCACAGTGACCGCATTTTGATTCTTGTTGTGATTAAGGTATGAGTAGGTATCAGATGTTGAATATTCTAGGGAAAGTGCAGAGGGTGGATAACAATTATCAGAGCTTGACAATATGATGAGTAGCTTAGTCATATTCATCTAAATATCACAGTAGTAGATAAGACTTATATCCACATATTTGGTACCTGCTATACAGTACATCACCGTCTCTGCAGGAAGTACTACAATCTTAATTCCATGCCATACTATCCCACATTACTCTATGCCATTGTATAGAGCTACGCCTCAATAGTCGATCGTAATGATGGCCATGTAGGGCTGTGCAGTACTCGCATAGATATGTTGTATCCCTGGAACTTGGCAGAGATAAGTTTAGAGTAAATGCAATAAACACATCACAACAATTCTGCAGTACACATTTTCGCAATGTGTCCATACTTTTGACAGTTGAAGCATTGCAACATGCGGAACCCTGTCCTGAATATTTCCGTGGCCTTAAGTTCGCATTGCCACGTAAGCCCCTTTGTTATTGCCGTATCTGCTTGTTCAGCATGTGCAATCCACAGGATTATTGATCCTGGTTTTTTCCCCTGTTGTTGGTTTTTCTTAAGCCATGCGGCTCTTTGTATGAATATGCCTTGGATGTACACGTCATTGGCTTTCTGGAGCTGTTTTAGGTGCTCCGGATTTTCTGGCATAAATGAAAGCGGCATGTCATGAAAAAGAACCTGGTGTATGGGACCGGCAACTTGTGCTGAAGGCGCGAGCTTTGTGGTCCAGTCTTTGTGTTGTTCCATTAACTCCTTTGTGCCTTCTCCTGCAAAGTAGACTTTGACTTGACCATTTGTCATTTGACTAGTGCCGACTTTCTGTCTGTCAGAACAGCATGTAGACAGCAGGGCGGAGACGTGGGTCAAAGAGGTGGTATTCAGGCTAAAGGGCACCATCCTACATTATGCATGAGATAGGTGCATAACCACTCAGCCAAAAGGCCAGACCAGAATCATAGAACACTAGATTCTGGTTATCTCCACACATATAGATTATACAGAAGGTAATCCTGACACTGTCTCACGCTAATCTTCTAGACCAACTCCTCGCTCGTGAGCTTGGATATCTCCCTCTTTTCCTGCTCATCTTGGATACGGATTGTAGTTCTGCAGGACTCTCCTCTGCTTGCAATTTTTGCCCAAGAGCGGCCCTGGGCTGGCATAGGTGCCTAATTCTGTGCTATAGTGGCTTTGATGCCTTTAATTTCCTGTAAAATCTTAGCCATTACAGAATTTTCATCATTGTGGCTTGTATGTGAGGGTTTAGAGGGGGAGACTTTCACTTTCTGAAGGCTTTCAATAACTTGGATAGCCTCTTCAATTATTTTTCTGTACGCTCTACTGGAGAGCTCTTTGCCTTTTGTTGCGTCCTTGAAAAGATTCAGGGACGCGCTCGTGTCTTGTGTCGCCTCTCTCGCGACGCTACCACCTCTAGGACCCGCGCAAGGCGTTCCACCAATAATTCTTCTCGTGGGAATACTCGTCATCACAATTACAATATACTGTCAACTTTATGGATAAAAATCTATGGGGTCGACTTTTCGGAATGTGGATGTTTTTCACACTGTAACCATTATGATTCCTTAATTATGTTATTGTATGTACGTCATGACTCGGTTGACTGGGCGCGACGCAATAGCTTAGAGATGGTATGTGACAGGTGCGACCCCAGCTCTCTCAGTGATGATTTTTTTAATTGTGACAGGTGATAGTGTCCGCAACTGTTGTTCTAGCCCCATTCGAAGAAAAGTTGTTTATCTTCGTTGGGGATCTTTTGTCCTGCTAGTCTAGTCTGTTCAATAGGCCTTTGTTTTACCATGTTGACTGGCAAGTCTGGGAGCTTGGCCCCTTTCCTTGCTAATGTGGCCCAGGGGTACTCAGTCTCTTGTGTCTTTTAAGGCAGATCATGAGGTGATTTCTAGATTATTTTTGTCACTCTTGGCACTGAGATTTTTATCTAAGTGGCTTCGGGACATGAGCTTTTACTTGGGAGTTTGGTAGCAGTGATTTTACTTGTTGTTAAAACTGTGACATTAGGTAAAATCTTTTCAATAAAAGGGGCAATTAAGGCCGCACATTGGGTCCCAGCCCTGGATTTCGCCCAGGCGTCGATATTATGCAGGAATTCTTAAGCTAGGCTTATTTGCTGCTTTCGGTCGCGTTCTGATTGCTCCATTGCTGCGGTAATCACAATAAGGATCGGGTGTAAGTGGTCGCCTGAGCCAATTGAGGCCGAGGACGACGGCTGGTTGTACGCAGCTGTGATGCTGCTTAATTTTAAGAGTTTATATGGTTGGATAAATATAAGTATTCGCGAAGACGGGATGTTGATAGAACGGATGTGTATGAAATGGATCTCTCGATGATGAGATTACATGAAAGCTGATAAGAAGGCGAAGCCGTAAATTTGCTTTTTAAATAATTGTAGCTGATGGTTGACAGCAGTTGTTGACCAAAAGATCATTTTCCAAAGTTTGGTGATCACAATATTTCCTTCGGGGCCCTGAGTCCTAGATTCTCCTCCTTTCATACAGACAGACTGCCACGTGTAGTGTGATAGAACTGAGAATTATTACTTACAGTTATTCGAAGTGAATTTCTAGGGCAAATTTTTGAGTAGAATTCTGTCTGATCAAACCGTTGGATAATACTTATTACCCCCTCCCAGAGACCTAAAAATTATTTGTCGGGCTGCTAAAGGATCCGGAATGGGGGAAAGACTCCGGTTAGGCATAGTACATCCCAGGAAATGGTAAGTCACCTCGTGTGGCTGGAGATGCAGGTTGTTGGAGATTTTTTTCCGCGCACCAGCTTCCATTGCTACCTTTATTTCTTTGGTAGAAGGCCTATGGAAAAGGTGACTAAATTCCATCGGTAAGTAGGGAGCTGAAGGGCTGTTCACCACGGACAGTATAACAGAGATCTTGTCAGTAACATAAGAGTATAGGAGCGCTGTACAGGGTAAAGCCTGGTTAACAGTTAAAGCAGACGGCCAGCGTACGCAAGTAATGCCATAAAATAATTAATATTCTTCTATTGGTGGACAACTAATCCAAATGTCTATGATTCAAAGTGTGAGAGGTTGAGTTTTATACATGTATGTCAAACTGTTACATCAATGCATGCTTAGCAGTTACATATCTCAGGGTTGTAGATGCATGGAACATGTTTGGCATAGGAAAACACTACCATCGATAACATCAACGTAACATTCTGTAAACAAGACTGTAACTAGATCTATCTTGACAATTAAGTCTTGATGTGTTGCTAAGTGGATGGATGACGTATGGATACCTTGGATAGATAGTTTATAAGTGACCTGAACGGGAAGTGAGGACAAGTAGGTTCTACGCAGAAAGCATATCATTTAATATAATAAATCATCTTTCATATACATCTACATCTACACTAATTATATTTTCTTTGCAATACTCAACGTATATTTACACATATCGACATACGACAATCCATAATTATTTTATGCCTTTTGTCCAAACATATATAAGTCGATAAACAACTAAACTGGATTCTGCCCACGCAAAGTGTGCCCTGACCACATCTTACGTACGCACTATCAAAAGTTTTTTTTTTAGCATCTATCGAAAGATCTTGTTAGGTGCGAAAGGCCCACGTAAGCGCCACGTCCTAATTATTTGCGAAGCTGTGCACGTGGGCCAGCCCAGACAACCAGTAGCGGGTAAGTCCGTAACACTGAGCCAGAGAGGAGCCCAGTGTATTTTTTGGCAGTCAAATGGTGCATGCACTGAATGGTGAGATAGGTCAACGTTTTATTACAGTGATATCTAAAGAGCTATAAATACATTCTTCATGGGGTTTTGGCATAACTTGTCAAGCAATAAAAGCACTAATCCCGATTAAGAAACCAAGGCTGATTTCCACCAACACTGCTGGGTAGTATAATTCTCAATAAACACAAACCAAACCACACTTGTAATATCTTAAGTTTCTTTAGAGAATATGAGTGAATCCTGCGGACAATAATCAGGCTAAGTGGCTATCTGTTATAGAAATTGTACGAGAAGTCTTATCTTGGAAGCAAGAAATGATAGGAACAGAAAACGTGTAAGGAAATGGTATCATTGTCCTTTGCAGCTATAAATGATGACACGAAATAAGATGATAATCGAGATTGAAATTTCTATACATTCTAGTAAACATATATGCTCAGATTCACCTACCTCAAGAGTCAAGCAGCCAGATTGCATTCCTCAAGGTCTAGATTCATTATAGTAACTACTTGGTAAAACTCTCCTAGTCTCAGTTTTGTATACAGGATCTTGTTTTTGCTTCTGGCAACTAGAAAAGGTTTTTTCTCCTATCACTGAGACATTGTCATAAATATTATGACAATGGTAAATGACGAATCATGTTTGTAAATGATGATGAGATCTAGTCAGCATCGTTTGAACAATAGCAACCAATGAATGAATCCTATCCCTACATGACAGTACTAGAGAAGTCCAACATGATAAGTTGATGTAGGTTCAAGCAGCACACTAACTACCAGAGACATCCTTTATCTCGATCGCTGAATAGTTCAATTTATTATTTCTAAATATTTTTTAGTAAGTTCTTCTACTTTCTCTCACGCTCGCAGACGATGATCCTGGTCTTTCCCGGCATTTCCTGGTGACAGCTAACGGTTCTACAGTTGCCACTACAAAGCCATTTATCAATGTCCAACAAGCTACTTCCCTCGTATCATTTTAACATATCAAAACCATATTGCATGGAAATGGAAAAAAGCATCCAGTTAGGCTTACTCAATAATCATCTACATAACTATATATCCGACTCAGAAGTAAGGCATCAGTTTTATCTCCTTTGATTAAGGTATGGTTCCCCATTGGCAGACAGAGCAGAGCATTAGAACTTCTAAGGCTAGCCGCTCTTGAGCTACGTTGCTCTCCAGTACTGCTCGCGTGCAACAAACCATCCCTCCCTGCTACCACTGTAGCACGATGAAACTCTGGTCGTTCTGGGTCTAAATAAAAGTCATGGTCTAATGTAACCATGACTGTTGGTAATCCTACCGACAACATACCAGAGGTATGATGCAGCGATGGTAAGATAAAAAGATGCAAAGCGACTAGTGCTGAAACCGGATTACCAGGTAAGGAGAAGATCAATTTTTGTGTCCATTTTCCAGTTTCTGCTTGAGCGGGAATAGTGGCAAAGGTAGTCGGCTTTCCTGGCTTCATGGAAACGCGGCCAAAATGTATCGTACCGCCAAGTGATCGTTCAATTATTGGCTTAAGTAAATCGTGCTCACCCATTGACACCCCACCTGAGGTAACTACAATGTCAACTTTGCGCAGAGCATCTCTTAACATCTGTTCCAACCTATCTGGCTTATCTCGTGCAATCCCAAGATCCAAAACGTTATATCCCCAACTACTGATAGCTGAAATTATAGCTGTTCTATTGCAATCTCGGACCTCTCCAGGTCTTAAATCTCCCAAAAGATTGTGCTCAACTAATTCATCACCGGTGGATAAGACACCAACGAGTGGGCGTTGATACACAAACACCTCTGCCCTGCCAACTGATGCAAGCAAACTAAGTTCTCCTCCAGTACGAGATATTTCGGTGCCATTACGAAGTATTATATCACCCTTCTGGATATCACTTCCAATTTCACGTATATTATCACCTTCTCTGACACCTTCCACCAATATTTCTACTTCTTTTTCTTCTTTTTGAATGCTTCCAGTCGTAGATAAAAGAGCTGTATCCTCTACCATGACAACAGCAGTTGCACCAACAGGCAGAGGGGCACCAGTTGTCACACGTGCTATTTGTCCAGTTTGAACTTCAGCTGACCTGTTCGAGGTAGGTTTTATGACCGAGTTAACAACAAATATACCTTTACTGGATTTTCCATCACGAGGAGCTATAACAGCGTAGCCATCAACTATACTAGCTCGATAAGCTGGAACTGACTCTGTAGCCATGACATCCTCAGCTACAACATAGCCGGTTATATTAGAATCAACGCTTATATTGATCTTTCGAGGCGAGAGACTATGTGTCCGAATAAATTCAAGTGCCTCAGTTACAGAGATCATAGGATAAGGAGACGATCGATACCGATGCGTTGGATCGAGGTCAGGATTATTTGTTCGAAAGATACGAGAAGCTATTTTTTTCGTTGGCGGACTGTTCTCCGTCCTATAGTGTAATTTATCTGAATGGCTATGGATACATGAGTGTTGATGGGGCTTTGGAATAGTGAAATCTGCTTCCCTCTCTAGACTTTCCACTCCTCCGACATGCAGTATTCTAGAGTCAGCACCGGAAGCTTGTTGACAAACATGAGGAAGAAGTTTTATTATCGATTCAAGGCTCTCTTTGGCCCCTTTAGTTGATCCAGGAAGAGTAATTATTACGGTTCTGTTACGAACTCCAGCTGTGGGCCTCGACACCAAAGCAACTACAGCTAATTAGATAGAAAGCTTTGTATGTGTGAAATAAAGCTCACACGGTGTAATTAAATAACCAGCTGCGAGAACCCCGTGGACAATCCCAGGTGCATGTTTGTCCAAAAGGGGACCCACGGCCTTGGATGAGTGAGCGTTGCAATTAAGGTATATAATAAAACAAACACACCTCAGGTGTCACATCGTCTAGAGAAAACCCAGTACCACCAGTTGTCACAATTAGATTTGGACTACTTTGCACATCTGATAGACTCTTTATGGTTTGCTGGATGTCCTGTATATCGTCTTTCACTATCCCGACATGTACAACTTCCCAGGCTCCAACCCCTTGTTTGTGAAAAACTTCTCTTAAGACAGTTTCCGATGAATCTTGTGAAGGATTTCGTGCCGCCGTACTCGAAATAATGATGATGGCGGCTCTAAGCGTCATGTTTATCAAAGTCCGTGATATTTTCAGAAGATTATAGTGTTCTAGTTGAGGCCTAGCGACGTTGAGTCCTTATTATTCGACGTCACTACGGCAGATGCAGAATGATCACGAAACAATATGGTTCGGATCAAAAACAGATATTTACTGGTCAACATCCTCTATCCAGAAAATGGATTAGCACAGAAAAAGGCACAAGTTCCAGATGTAGTTGCTTTCAATCAGCCGACTACAGATAGTCTTACAGCGCAAGCGCTGCTCCGGATGGTTAGAGCAGAAGTAGCATTCTATTTTGGAGATCACGGTGCAGGTGCTATTTCTGAAAGTTTATCTGGTAAGATAATAGAGGCTGAAGAATACGATTATGAAAGCTAACCCTATGAAGTTAAGTATCTATCCCATGCAACCTCGACATTTATTCTTCGTGTTTCTCGAGCACACTACAAGTTTGTATGGGCGGCACTTTCTCTCACAACAACAGTCCCAGTCAACGAAGGAAAGGGATGTATTTTCAGTGTTGTCAGAGTCAGCGGTACCATGAGAAAAGCAGAAGAAGAAGCGATACGACGTGCTAGACAAAACATAATTAAGGCTACAAGGATAGTTCCTGGCGATGTCAATTCAACATTGGAAACAATACTCGGCAAGCCTGAGTCAACAGTAGATGTTGATATGCGAAATGATTCCGCCAGTGATGAGGAAGAAGAAAACAGTATGGTCGAGCAAAATTAATCTTTTTTCACCCTCGTCACCTTTACGCTACATTGTCCTGTTAGTGAACTCATATCCATCGAATCAATTTCATCATCAAAATCATCATAATCATCGTCTCCCGGTGACTTCTTAGGACCAACACCTACTTGTGCTTGATTCTCCCACTCTCTAAGCTCCTGCTCATCGTACTCATCCTTGGCGTCTATCCACCGTTCCTGAACATCCTTCACGTCCATGGTTGTCACACCTTCTCTCATGGCCACTTGCCAAACTGTATCGTTGGCTCCCTCAGCGCCCCCGAAGGCATATCCACCCGCTCGATCTATTATTTGCAATAAATGCATCATACTCTTTTTATTTTCCACCGCCAGGGTTTCAAACCCAATTAGTCCAAAACTTTCTACTAGTTCTACAATTGCAGTATTGAGACCTTCAAATTTGGAGCCACTCATACTAGAGGACTCTTCTTGGAGGAGTGGTAGGAGATAAGATAGATCTTGCAACTCGGTGTAAAAGTCTAAGTTGAAGGGAAGCTGTGGATATGATGAGAGTTTGTCAATCTTTGTGAGTACATTGATATGTGGAAGGTCCATTTGCAGCATAGCTCGTAGTGATAGAATAAGGTTAGAAATGAAGAGAGAAGGAAGAGTTAAACAGTACGAGTCAGACAGATGTATGACCACAAGCTATACAGCCATCAGTAATTGTATAGTTCAGGGTTGGGAGAATTGTACTCGATATCCTAGCTTTTGCAGCCTAAAAAATATTTTTCGTAAAGATGAATGATGAGTGTAGAGCTCCACTTGTCCTGGGCAGTCAAACAATACATAATCTTCACCCAGATGACTTAATTCTTCCTCAAGCCATTCAACATTCTGCTCAAGCTCTTCGAGTGCAAATAGTATACCCCCATTAGGGCCAAGGTTATCATCCTGCATTATGGTCTCTAGTTTGATGAAGCTACGGATATCGATGGCGCATGGGTAGTAAGTGTGGTCGTTAGCTGGATCAAGATTGACTATGGAGCATTTACGACCAATAGCAGACATAAATTGCTGCACTGCCTTGCTACTTAGCACAAAGCGGCGTCATTATACACGAAAAACTTACTTCCATTGCAGTATGTACTCTTGCCGGAGCCTGGACTACCAAGCACGAGTTGTGCGAACGGCATATTGTGTGCAACGTTGAGCGTCGTCAGATGGCAGTATCAGAGCAAATCGCCGCGGGTGAGAAAATACCGGATTTTACAATTTTCAGTAATTGAAAGGTTTTATGTAATTTTGAGAATATTTATTGAGCCAGTGATTAGAATAATGAAGCTTGCAAGGAAATAGTAGTTCACGATGAGCGCCGAACAATTAGAACCATTATTTTTGTGTCCATACTGAGCCGCGTTGATGATTGTACTGCACGGACTCCCGCATTATTTTACATGCGTAAATCCAAGTAGCCTTACGAGGAGTCGTAGGAGGCAACTTACCTGTGGGCTGCTTTTCGATGCAATTTGTGAAAGGACAAAGACTATGCACCTATCTGCTTTGTCCTCCACAAACCTGGCAGTGAGATACTATCTCAGAGCCAAGTCAAATCTCGCAACAGCAAAGAATCTTATACTCGAGGCAAAGACTCAAAACTTTCCAACAAATTGATTTCTTTCTTCCGACGAGATATATCCCGCTAAAGCCTCATTAAGTTATCAAGCACTGCTTTGTATGTCCTAATGTGTATGACCAAATTCCCCGTCAAATTAGCCTCTGGCCTCAACTGGCCACCAAGTATACCCCCACGCCGACGTTTTGAACCCGCCGGGAAAAATAAATCATAGCACAAAAAGGTTGGAGGCAGACACTTAAGGTGTGCGTGAGATAAATTAGGATAGACGAAAAACTTATTACCAAGGATGGATAAAATTTTGTAGGAAGTACCGTATTGACTCTTCCATTGCTACCATTTTTTTCTTTTTTTTTGGGTAGAAGGTTCCGTGGAGAAGGTGGCCGAATTCCACGGGTAAATACTGAGCTGAATGGCTATTCATCAAGGGGAGTATATCAATGATCTTTAAGGTAACAAAAGAGGATAGGAGCACTATACAAGGTATGGCCTGGGTCAGAGAGGAGCCCAATGTGCTAGATAGTCATAGACTCAACTAGTACAATAAACACAAACACACCGTATTGACTCTGTCTGTCCTACATAGTTGTTAACTCAAATAGGACATAAATGGATTCAAAAGAGACCGTGATGACTCAGAAAATGGCTTTTCAGATTGAGCAATGTGCGCTACAAAATTTCGGATGCGAAGTTGCAAGCGACACTGTATACACCTTCATGGTTTGATGGTGCGGTGGTATATCATTGTAGCCGATCTGCCAAGTAGAGTCTGGATAGCTTTGAAGCACCACTTTTCCTACTCAGGAGATCGATAGTTCGATTCCGGCAAAATAAAACCACTTTTCTCTTTTTTTTTTTTTGCATCAGATTTGAATTGCGTATGCAGCTATCTAGCTATGACACAATATCAAAGAAAAGTACAGAAAAGATGACTCAATCTACAAGAGGAACACTCATGCCTCAGATTTCATTTGCAAGTACCACTGCGAAGTTATGGTGGCTTTTTCTTCACCCCAAGTCAACCCTCATCCGTGAATACTCACCCAGGGGAACGTCTCAAAAACCCTGAGTTATCCAGACGTGCCTCCGTCATCCATCAGATTTTCTCCGCGCGAAATGTAATCTGAGATGTCTCCTTCCAAAGTGGAGTAGGTGTCCAGGCTACTCAAACCATACCAGAGAACATCACCAGGAGGCGGACCACAACAACTTCCATCGTCGGCTTGTTTTTATAGTGTCAGCTGCACTCTCGCAAGCGAAGTCTTGGCGCGCACAAAGCTCAATTCGTAAAACTCTTGCCAAAATCCGAAATTTCACGCCCGTCGAAAAAGTATCCCTCTTCTGCATCATCTTGTAAACTTGTCCTGATTCCTCTCACGTCCATCCCAAAGAGCTATCTCCCAGATTTGTGCGCCACGCTTTGCTTCCTCCGTCGGGTATAAATATCGGCGTGGGCGTGTATCTGGCGACCAGCTAAGGCCAGAGAAAGTCGACGAGAGGTGTGGTCATTGGGATGAGGATGTACTAGGTCGTACTTGTAGACTTGATGAGGCTTAGGTAGGAATCGATTTCGTTGGGAGTGAAAGATTGACATGGTCGAGTATTTTGAATCATTGCCTCGTGGGCCAACTTCTTTGATATTGTGTCATAGCTAGATAGCTGCATACGCAATTCAAGTCTGATGCAAAAAAAAAAAATAAACACCGATCATGTGTCATAGCTAGATTGCTGAATACACGACAAATAATTTAAAAAAATGGCCAAAACGACCGATGAACGAAAGTTCACACCGATGTTCCATCAGGAGACAGGAAGAGTCATGGGAGGGCCGTAATACTTTTGTAATTAGTGGTCTATGGAGATTACATAAGATTAGAGTGGCAGCTGTGTTGAGTAATATTTAGTGCGCAGACACCTCGATCTTGTACAAAGGAAAATTCTTCCCCTCATTAGATTAATATAGTCTTCAATACACATCAATCAGACCATAAGGTCATCACGACCTGTGCATAACTCTAAACAGGAGCTTCAGTCCATCAACTACCGTAAGCTCATAATCATAAAACATGGCCTCACAAACAACTCCAGGCTCTAGCACTATCAGGGGCGAGTATCAGAACACAGGAGTGTTACGGACTCTGCCTTGTTCGATTGAATTTTTTTTTGAATTTGATTTCATTTAGCCCGATTTGGCGCCTTAAGGCCCATACAGGTGTCTACGAACTCTAATATTTATATAGGAGGAAATCTTTATGGTAAAAACCCCCTCAGCTTTTCAATTTATTTACACTTTGATATTATGTTACCTTCACGAAGTGCACTAATACTGTTATATCCAGTGCGGATACCGTCCACTCCTTTATTTATGGCAGGAGATCACCTTTCCCCTACTGCCCTCTCTGTCACTCATCATGGCTTCGACTTCAAGCGTCAGTCGAAACTGCTCTAGCCTTCCTTCCTTTTGTATCCACTTTGTTATTCTAGCCATATCTTTCGGGTTATTCATCATCGCTTCGAATGACCGATTCTCTGCCTTTCTCAGTATCTCCCCTCTACCTATAGCCCAGTCGGGACAGGCCATGATCATATGCTTGACGTTCTGGGACGGATATCCACATTGGCATCGTGGACTGTCTACTCCGGGAACATGTCTTCTGTGCAGGTAAGAATTGAACCCAATGTGCTCACTTCTTAACTGCATGGCTATGCTACTTTGTTATTTATTTATTTATTTATTTATTTATTTATTTATTTATTTATTTATTTATTTATTTATTTATTTATTTATTTATTTATTTATTTATTTATTTATTTATTTATTTATTTATTTATTTATTTATTTATTTATTTATTTATTTATTTATTTATTTATTTATTTATTTATTTATTTATTTATTTATTTATTTATTTATTTATTTATTTATTTTTGAATTTTGAATTTGATTTCATTTAGCCCGATTTGGCGCCTTATGGCCCATGCAGGTGTCTACGAACTCTAATATTTATATAGGAGGAAACCTTTATGGTAAAAACCCCCTCAACTTCTCAATTTATATACACTTTAAGTTTGTGTTACCTTCGCGAAGTGCACTAATACTGTTTTATCCAGTGCGGATACCGTCCACTCCCTTATTTGTGGCAAGAGACCAATTCTCCTTGCTGACCTCTCTCTCACTCATCTTGGCCTCGACTTCAAGCGTCAGTCGAAACTGCTCTAGCCTTCCTTCCTGCTGGATCCATCTAGTTATCCTTGCAATATCTGTGGGATTGTTCATCATGGCCTCAAATGACCGGTTCTCTGCCTTTCTCAGTATTTCTCCCCTTCCTTTGGCCCAGCTGGTGCAGGCCATGACCATATGCTTCACATTTTGGGACGGATATCCACATTGGCATCGTGAACTGTCTACTCCCGGAACTTTTCTTCTGTGCAGATAGGAATTGAACCCAATGTGTTCGCTTCTTATCTGTATAGCTATGCTGCTCTGGGCCCTGTTAAGGTGTTTATGGATACTAGAAGGTGTTCCTCTTTGGCTCATTCTTGTCTTTCCCGTCTTTTCATCTGTAAAAAGGTTTACTGCGTTCCAGATTTTGGGATCTGCTGTTGCGTGGTGGTTAGTAGTTTGCCTGGCTGTTAGTCTCGTCCAGGATCGTTCCCATTCTCTAAAAGCTGCAACCTTCCCAGCCGCTTTCTGTCCCACTTTCGTCTCTATATTCTCACATGTTTGACCCCACTCCGCAATATCCAAGGTCCTCGTGACAGCTCGTGCGTCTTGCCTTCCAGCTCGGGGTTGCTTTATCTTCCTGCATGCTGACAATATCGTATCTTGAACAGGTAGGTTTTTTGATAGTCCGGCGTGTTGGACCCTCCTCTGTTTTAGATATATTTCCATCGGCAAGGTAGAGGTCTCATGCTCAAGTACCTTATTGCTGGTCGAGTTGTACGCTCCCGTGACGATCTTCAGGCACCTTCTTTGGATACTTCGAAGTGGCTTTATCACTCTTTCGGGAATTTTGCCGGCTATTCCGGGCTCGGCCCAAATGGGGGCTCCGTAGGTGATAGCTGGTCTCACCACTGCATTGTACACAAGTTTTGCTTTGTGGAACGTTGCACCCCAAGTTGATTGTGCCAATCTACCTAGGGCTTGGATTTGTGGTTCGACTTTGAGCTGTATGTTTTTGATGTGAGCACCCCAATTAAGTTTCGGGTCGAGGTGGATGCCTAGGACACGAAGAGAAGGTTGCGGATGGGCGATATGGCCTTGGATTTGGACTGTGGCCTGCATGTTGTGCCTCTTTCTAGCTCTTGAGAAGTGCATTAACTGGTACTTCTCCGGAGCAAATTTTACACCATGTCGGTCAGCCCACTTTTCACAAATCCCATGGAGCCTTTCGAGATTTCGGCAATTTTCTTCTGTAGAGTTGGACCAGGTCAGTATGTTAGTATCATCCACGAATCCTACAGCCGTCGAAGACGGCGATTGAAGTTCGGGAAGAAGCGTGCTGACGAAGAACAGGAAGAGAATTGGCGAAAGAGAAGAGCCTTGAGGAATCCCAGTACTT